TTTATTAGATCATCATACCGGTAAAAATGCCCCTGAGATTGTTTACCTAGACATACCTTTTTTAAATGACTCAATACCACATATTTTGGGTCTTTCTGTTTCAACTCCTTCTAGATGACACTAGCCATCTTAGGAGACAGCAGCATGTCAGATAGCAAGGCAGATATCGGAGGCAGAGACTAAGATTCCGCAGATGAAATTGGAGCAGTTTTGTTGCAGTTGTTCAAGGCTTCCAAGGTAATCACAAAGCTGAAAATTATGTGGAGTTAGTGTCGACTCTCATGAAGAACTATGTTAAAATGTGGTGCAGAATGTCTCTGAAAGTCCATATCCTTGACTTTTGACAAATTTAAGGAGAACATGGGCACTTATTCTGACAAACAAGCCCTTTTATTAAAATATATTGGACTTTAAACATCGTTACTAAGGATAGTATAACAAAATTAGTATGGGAGACTTGATTTGAGGGCTATTTCGAGGGAGTGATTCTTAGTATGATCGTAAATCTAGAAAATCTAAATATTTCTGAACCTTGTTGAGTGGTGTCCTACTGTTATTTATTTCTTGTGCAATTTTTGTTTTTATTTGATTATAATAAGGAAAGTGAAAAAAAATTGTTCTAATTTCACAAAAAAAAATTTTTTTTTTGCTGTTGTTGTGTAAGCAAAGTTTATGTTTAATAAAGTCATTTTTTTACATATTTTAGACATAAGAAATTGAAATTTAAAACTTAGAATCCAGGAACAAAAATTATGTTACATAGTACTATTTTTGTTAATGAAAAAAAAAAGTTATCTTAAAAAACAAGGTAGTGGCAGTATAGACATCTGAGTCTAGGTCATTCCCCTCAAAGGCAGAAATGTACTGTCATTAATTTTTTATTTCACTTTAATACTATTTATTTTACTTTTAATTAGTACAAATTATAAATTTACAGCTTATACAATGTTAAACTGATTAAAACCAATGCAAAATAGTATTTTCAGTGAATAAATAATGTTCCACAGGCAGTGACAAGTCATCTCTGTGAAATGTCACCATCCAGATCTTTTGCTAACCTCAAGTAGTTCAATCCTTTTACTACAAGAGATGCATTAACAAAAAACAGGATTTTGCCAGGATATTAAGGGGAAGGATAATAAAGAAGTTCAGACTTCAAAGAAATCTCGACAATTTTACTTCTAGATATATCTTACCACGCAACATAAATCAGCCATCAAATGTACTGAAACAATGAAAACTAAAGATGGAAGAAGAGAACTGTTTTGAAAAAGATAGTTCTAGTAGGCTTACTACTGGGAAAATGAAACAATAAGAATCAAACTGAAAAAACAGAAAAGAATATTGAACCATGATATTTTGATATTGACTATAAGAATTTGGTTCTTGAAAACTTTAAATATGTTGGCATATCCTACTGACTAAAGATGTTGGAATATCTTACTGACTTGTTAAAAAGTAAAACATGCAACGGCAAGTGAGAAAACTGGAAAGGAAACGTAAAGTATGCAGTTTAAACAAAGAAATAGTTTGTAAAGAATTTGAGAATGAATAAGTAACATTTCCTCAATGGTCTAAAAAAAGAGTTGAACTTGTGGTAAAAGGTAAAATGAAGACATGTTTCAAAACTGAAAGAA